TGGCCTTAATGAAAGTCGCGTTTTCTTATCTAGACACGCTGTGTTGATGCCTCCAACACGCCGTGTCGAATCCTCAGAAGGAGATTATACTTAAAGTTGCTCCTCAAATTTCCGGGTGTTACACCAACGAGGTGAATATGGATTAAAATCGATGATGGATTATGGATTTATTGTTAGAGATAGAGGGAGGGAGAGTGGATGAGGGAGAGAAAGAGAAGAGATATATGTTTTGACGATTTTGATGGAGGTTGAGGGGTGGAGGTAGTGAAGGCGGATGAGGAAGTGGGAGTGGTATACATGGGTAGCAGGGATGACAGAGGTAGACATCGGGGGTCATGGGTCGTGATGAAGACATATGGGTGTGGGGTGAGGGGTATGTCGTAGGTATCCAATTGGGAATCTAAATGTATGTTTCGTTTAAAGAATATATGGACTTGGTCGTATAGTTTGTACTTTTATGAATTTGGATTGAGGTCAAAATGGTCATTTCAAAAAAATATAACAATTGAATAGGTAGATTTAACAGTTAGAGGACCACTTGTGCAACAAACTTAAATCTTAAAGAGATCGTATCAAATTCTTGAAGGTTGGACTCAAAGTGAAAACTTTTAAATATCACAAGGGGCATTTATGTAATTTACTTAAAAGATAAAGACAATAAAGGTTTTCCAAATAAAAATACATTAGAATATGTCCGATCATTCAAAGATACGTGGTTGCTTAGCTAGCTTCACGTTTTCACAAACTAGACGACAATCGGCCTAAAATGCCAAAGTTTTAACCCGCTTTCCGTCCCTTTTCCTTTTTTTTTTGTCTTTTACCTTTTGTTATATTTTTATATTTTTAAAATTTTTAATCATGTATTTAAATAAAAGAACCTTTTTCGCAACTTTTTTAGTCCACTTATAACGAGTTAGCCATTAAACGTTATATAATATGATTGAAATTATAGAGAAATGATGCCAACAATATTATTATGCGAGAATAACAGAATAAGTACAGAATTTATATATATTTGTAGTTTATCAATTTAATTTTTTTTTAATGTTGAATTTGCATTATTTCAATGCGTATTATTATACGAATTTTAATTTTCTTATAAACAAACATTGTCAATTCATAATATTACTTTTTTAAAATGAAAATACATATAGTATTATTTTTATATAAACAAATATTTTTACAGTTACATGATATCGAATCAAAGGGAAACAAAGACAAAAACAGATGTTGGATGGATTGCTCCAATCTTGTCAGCGCAAAGTAGATAAATCGTATATATCTTTAAAAAAATGTTTTATTCAATTTCTCATTCTCCATTTTTTCTTTTCATAACTTACAATATTTATTAATTTTGTTAAACTATTAGAATACTTAATTTTTGTATTTTTTTTAGAATTTTGTTTTATTTTATATTTCTTTGTGTATATTTTAAGTATTTGACCACTATATTTCTTAAGATTATATCTGTATTTCTATAGCAAAATATTAATCAGAAAGCATAATAGTTCATAGCATCAAATTTTGTTATTGTGTAATATTTTTAATAAATATAATAGTTCAGTTGTTATAAAATTATAAATGCATCTATTGAAACACAAACTTATCCAAAAATAATAATAATAATAATAAAATACTTTCTTATGGGTTCCAATCCATTACGACATTTATTGGATACCAGATTTGACCTTACCTGTTGTCCATTAGACCATGATGGCCACCATATCCCTTCTCCAATTTTCGTTCTCATTGGTTTCATTTATTGTTCTTTTCTTCACCACCACTTGTATTATTATTCTTATATTCCTCAATAAGTTACATTTTTCTATTGCTATATAACAAGATTATTATTTCCAAATATATCTTAGTTTCTAAAGATTTAAATAAAAAAATATTTTAGCATACCTCAAGATTTATGTATATACAAATTTACAGCCTAATTGTTAAGATTTTTGGCTAAAAGTTTCATGATTGTATATTGTTGTCGTAAGTATTAGATATGTAATGATTATGTCCTCCAAAGCAATGACATAAAAAATTTGATAACACACTTTTATCTTATTGTTTTAGAATAAATGAGCATGATAAATATGTTTATGTCAAATATAATAATATCTATGTCATTATATGTTTATATGTGGACTATGCTTATAATGGGAATTGGTTAGGATGTTATAAAACAAACCAATAAAATGTTACACTTTTCATTTGATATAGAGTATGTGAGAGTAGCTGATGTTATTCTTGGTGTGAAAGTAAGTAAACTATGATAGTTATATTCTTACTCATTCCCACTATATAAAGAAAGAAGGTGATTAGAAAGTTTGGATATTATGACGACAAGCCGGTTGTTATCCTATTTAATCATTCTAGTCATTTTAAGAAAAATCTAGGTGATATTATAGCTTGTCTTGAATATACATAAGTTCTTGGATAGATGCATATAATGAATTGCACTAGATCCAACTTGGCATATAGTGTAAGCAGATTAATTTGATACTCTCATAATCTTGAGACGGATCATTGGTATGTTTTAGTAAGGGTGCTTAGATATTTGAAGCATACAATGAGTTACGGGTTGCATTACATGAGATGTCATCGTGACCTAGAGGGATATTATTATGAAAACTAGTTTTCCAATACTTTTAAGGGTAAGTCCATAAGTTGTTATGTATTTACACTTGGTGAAGAAGCTACTACCTCTTAGAAATCATAATTAAAGCAAATTATGAAAAATCTTTCTATAATGAAAGGAGAATTTATAGTTTTAGATAAAGTTACTAAATAAGTTAGAGTGGCTTAAAATCTTTCTAAGAAGGTACTCATTTATGGCCTAAACATATTACTGTCATGTGTATAGATTATGATAGGATGTCTTCTCTTACCAGAGCACGTAATTAAATACTATACAATTGCAAGTTGAGACATGTCAGGACTCAAGAGTAAACATAATACAATAAGAGACTTATTGAAAATAAAATCATTTCCACAGTTATATAAAGTGAAAGGAAAACATGGTTGATCCTTTTAGGGATGAGCGTTTGAATCGAAAACCCGAACCAAAACCGGAACCAAATAAGGACCAATTAAGTTATTCGGTTCGGTTCACGGTTCTGTAAATTGGTTTTATTCGATTTTCAGTTTTTTCAGTTCTGGTCTGGTCTGGTTTCGTTTCCGTACAACTTCTTAGATAGCACATTTTCTTAGTACAACCAACCGCAACCGTAACCGAATTGGTTGGAACCGAATAGTGGTATTCGTTATGGTTTTCGGTTCTTAGTTTATGGTTTTTTCAATTCCGGTTCGGTTCGATCAGGTTTCAGACCGAATAACATCCCTAGATCCTTTGACAAAAGGCATTAATAGAGAACAAGTAATCTTTACATCGAGGGAAATAGTCTTGAAGCCAACACATGAGCCACTACCTAGCGGAAACCTCACATAACAACATTGGAGATCTCGTTGTGAAGGTTTAATAGGAAAACATGCTGGGAAAGACTCAATGTAACAAACATAAATGTCATATCGCTCCTATAATATTCATTTTTGTGTTTTTCAGATGATGATTTATGGATGAATATTTATTCTAAATAAATTGATATCTTGTATAATGGAATACAAAGGATTGTTTCAGATTGGCCTTGCCTATGTGAAATAGATGTGATATGTGAAATAGATGTGAGGTCTATGACTAAGTTCTATAAAAGTCTAATGAAGATGAGATTCTTCACAACCAAAATGAAAATAACGGCAAGAATCAACATATTTTTAGACACGATGTATGTGACGCTTCTTGTATTGTTCTACTACAAAGTGTGGTTAGCTCAAGACATTAGTTTACTATCCACAAAATAGATATGATTAGTATTCAATATGAAAGGTTCAATCTTTTTTACAAAATCCAACCATTGCTATTTTGTTCAATATAATGTTTTTCTGTAACTAGCTTCTTGTTGATTTGCTGATATAGTTTCCGTTCTAGCAAATAACATTAATTGGAATAAATATATAAATAAACTTAGTGTTCATGTTCATCATAAATATGGTTCCAATCTAACATGTCGTGAAGTTGACATGGGAGGTGGCGCTCACTATGCAAGTTCATAATAAAATCGACCCACATATGTGAAATATATGAAAAACATTTCAAATGCGTTTTCACATGTTTTCCTTTTAGAGCTTTTAACTCTTTGGTGGTCAATTCTCTCTTCTATAGATATCGTTTGTTTGTTCACATGGTTTGCGACATATTGTGTTATAACTCGTGTGAGATTTACCATCATCATAAAAACAATAAAAAAGACACATAATAACAAATTAAAATCAAATGATACATGCTTTTATCAATGCATAATTAAACTTTAGGATAATGAATAAAAGAAGTAAGAAGTATGATATGTTTAATAAAAGCCGCGACATAAACCTGGTCTTTATCACTTTATGACTATACTCGTCAAAATAAATTGCTTTTATTCAACATACATAGAACTTTTGACCACTTGTGAATACTACTTATTATATCATTCTCCAAAAATAATAAGACATATCAAATTGACCCAATCTATTAAATCAAATGAGACAATAGAATATTTATGCTCATCATAGTCGTGATTTTTATTAACATTCACATTATATAATGGGGTGGAGAAATTGACAGGATTCAAGACAATCATCTCCAGCAAGTATCTTTTAAACTTTATACCATACACTTTCTTGAAGTATTTGAATACTTTAATTATTTTGAAAAGTGAAGATTTAGAAAAAAATAACCTATGCTAATCATGAACCACTCAAGATCAACTCAGTTAATAATTCAACTAAATATCATTATTTTTATTTTTATAGATTAAAACAAACCCATATGGCCATATTGTTCTTCACAAGCCTAACATATATTATATGTTTTCAAATAATTTTTTATACTATCTTATTTTTTAAATTCTTCTCAAAGAAACAATTTAAAATACTTAGATTGATTAAAAAAAACATTTGATGTTGATAATCCGTTAACATGTATTTAGTATTTACATTCAACTAAAATTTCAAGTTGAATGAAAGCATCAAACATTCTTCCATCAAATACAAACAAATAAACAAACAGAATACTTGATAGCAACCATATTAAAAACCAAATGATGCACAGCATCTATATCATCTTTGATAATACCAAATAGTCATAACACCAAACGTAAACAGAAAACCAAAAAAAATCCATAACAAACCATGTTTATAATAACATGGCATTTATTTAATTAAATATATCTTATTAAAACCTACTCATACTCCTTTTCTTCATTCTCCTTCTCTTTCCACCCTCCGCTTTTCAACACAGACCTCGGAGACCCACAGCAGCTCCCACCTTCCTTCACAAACTTCAGATACACAATCGATTCTCCACCACCAATTTCTTCATAACTTTTTTCTTCCACTCCATACCCTTCAATCTCAATTCCGCTTCCAATTCCGTTTCCAATTCCACCACCAACAGCAACCGAAAACTCGCCAGGCTCAAAACAATCCAACACCCTTCTCACAAGGCTTTCCAATCCAACCTCCTTCAAGTCATACCCAACAGCCTCAAAGCTCGCGTAACTAAACCCATCTTCCGGAGTCACATGAATAGTTGAAACAGAGGAATCCTCAATTCCATTCATGGAGTACCCACACGGGTCAAATTCAAAGTCGCAGATTCCGGAGTTTGGGAGGATCGAACGGATACCGGAATCGTTCGTCATTGTTTCCGCAGAACTCCACTCGGTTTTGTAAAAGACAGAAGCTTTTTCACGGTCTAGAGTCGTCATGCACATCTCGAGCGTGTACATGTCACCGGAATCGGAATCAGCACCTCTGGAATCGGAATTGGCAAAAGCAGAATACACGTACCACTTGTTAGGCTTGTCAAAAGCACCCATTGCATAAGCTTTGCTTGATAACCCGAGTTTCTCAAAATGGGAATCGAGAACTGAAACTTCTTCGGTGAAGCTTCTGTGTGGGAAAGATTGAGCTCCCGGGAATATAAAACTGCCACGTGTATATCTCACTGATCGGACAGTGAGAGAGAGAGTCGCCGCTAGCTTCAGAATAGCTGGAATCGACAACAAAAGCTTGGTGGTCCCACATGTTTTGATTACGAGTTTGTAGGGGAAAATGAAAAGACTCGATTCTGACAGAACGTAAGAGTCAACGTGGTCGTTGGAGAGAGAAGACACGATTGTGCATTCAGCTGGGGTTAAAATTTCATCGATTTGGGTCTTTGAGAGGACCCGAAGACCTTGACCATTCGGGTCGGAAAAGATGCTGGGCTCGAAGAATGTTAGTTCGAGTCTTTTTTCGTAACCTTCAAAACCGATTGCAGAAACTTGTTGCGCCATTTGAGCAAGAAGATGAGGAAGATGAGAGAAGAAGAAAAGGGAAGAGGGTTTTTTACTAATTCTAAACTAATTTGAAAGCAGTAAAATTAAAAGCACGTCAAGCGACGTGAAGGGGAAAGCGATTTAGGGAATATCAGGATGGTTTGCGAGCGCACTGTAAAAAGCAAAAAAAAAATGATTAGTATGAAATTAATTGATAGAGAGAATGGAATCATGAAGGAAGGAATGGAATTGGTTATTGTGCTTACGTTGGAGTAAGCAGCAGATCTGAATTTCTTGATTCCTCCGTTTGGGCGAACGTCTTCAATGCTGTATCCTAGGGGAGCTTCATAAAACGATTTACTACTACTACTACTACTAGACTTTTTCCCACCTTTGGTTTCCATTAGAACATTCAGTTTTGTCCTGTAAATCAAACGATGTTGAAAGATTAGTCAAGCCAACAAAGAATAATGTTTAAAACTAGTGATTTATGTAAGAGAGATAATGACAAATGAAAAGAATGGTTGAATGAACGAATAATGACAAAAGCAAGATTATGATGTTACATTCTACAAGAAAAAAAGTTAAAATCAACGAATTGTCTTTCGTAGTTCATAATCGAGTCAAAGTTTATAAACACAGGTTTGGTAAACAAAGACAAGGAACATAAATCAGCGTTTAATCTTTTGGGATTCACATTCAAGATCTAATTTAGTTGAGAGAACAATGTTAAACACACCAACCGATAGCTAATCAACTTGTTATATTTGTTTAATTGAATAGTAATATTTAAAAGTAAAGGAACTTCAAATAAGAACACAATTATTGACATATAAAGCAAAAAAAGAAAAGTAAAAGACCCACTTCAATCATTCAAATCGGTTAAGCCAATGATAAAACCAAAAAACGTGAAAAAGGGTTAACAAACAAAACTATATTTAAGATCTAAAGAGAAAGTTTCTTCAGCCATTAAAAAAGGATTCCCGATCAAGCCTCAAAAACTTATGATAAATCATTGAGAAATTGAAAACCCTAGACATGCGTACAGGAGTGCTTATGTACATACATTCATATAAACACAGACAAGATCAAACAACTACGATCTAAAACGAGAGGGGTTTGAACTTACAATATAAATTTTGTTGTTGTACGACTCCTCTAGAACGAAAATATAGATCTCCGATCTGCAATAAAACCCTTAAAACATCAATGAAAAGAACACAAAACACGAATCTCAAACCAAGAAGGAGAAAGAGAATCAAAACAACACGCTTACCTTGATGAAGAAAAGAATAAAACGATCGACGATGAATATCAAAGAAGAGGCGTGTTCTTTCCTCTGATTTTTAGGGTTATCGTGAACGTAATGTTGATAGACGGCAGAGATATGAGGGTATATATAAGAGTTTGTGATTGTTATCAGCCACTAGTTTTGAAAAATATTACGAATATGCCATCGGGTGCAGTTACCTAGAGAGTTCTCTGTGGTGTATAGCGTCACAGCCACGAGTTTGGAATATTTGACAGCTAATGAGAGGAAATACGATTTAGTTTTAATTTTTAATTAATTGTGATTTTGTTTTATTAAAATTCTTTAATTACATTATTTGATGAATCTAATCCAATGGCATTGATTCATTTATATATTTATTTATATGTGTAATCCTTATCTCTAATCTCTAAACGTTAATAAATGTTTAGTTTTCGTTATTATTTGTTTTTAAAAGAGCTAACAAATTTGTTATGTTTTCATTATTATGTTGTACAATTTAGAATATTGAAATAAAGAGTTTTCTACTTTTTGAAAATATTGAAATAAAGAGTCTTCTTCTGCTTTTTGAATATTAAATAAATATAAAATAATTATTTCCGGAAACCACTTTCCTCTTTTTTTTTCTCTATAAACTATTAACTATCAACAAGCATTGAAAAAATATTTTCCATATGAAGAATATGTTCGAGTTTAATAGTGTATTGTATATATGTATTAACTATCAAGAAGCTATGAAAAACATTACTAACAATGTAATTTGAACATAATGGGTCTTGGAAAAGTAATGAGTGATAAGATTGAAATGATATCAATATCATTATGACACCTTACAATGACTGTGAGGAACAAATGCATAAAGGTGCAAGCGTTGCATGTTTTGAAAACGAGACAACATGACCAACAATCGAGTAGTGTGGATTAGTGGATAGTATTACTAAGCATTGGCCCAATGGGACCAAGCCTAAAAATCTAACACATGGGAACGTTAATCTCATTTGGCATAAAGTTTATTTAAGCCGTTTGAAGAAAAAATAATCTCATCATATCATACTATATTATAAAAGAAATATTTTTTATTTCACCACATTCATTTGAAACTCCCAACTTTTCATATTTCCATACAATATGCTTAATTTATTAACTTAAATATGCTTTTAGTTGTAAACATTATCATAAATGAAAGAATTTGTGACTTATCAATATAATATACTTAATTTGTTAACTTCAATATATAGTTAAATAAATAACCTACATTAATATATCAAATAAGCTTAAAAATTTAGTGTAAAATTTGAAACCTAAAGTAAAATATCAAATAATGTTTAAAAAATTCAATATATATTTTTTAACATAGTTAAAAGGAAAACATTAAATATAATAATAATAAAAGAACCTAAATTGATGAATCGAATTAACTAAAAGGCGTCTGAAAACTATATTCTAACAATATATTTTTAACCTGCGGCGCGCAACGCGCGGCAATTCGTCTAGTATACTTATAAAAGAAGCATTTTTCCTTTCATCACATTCATTTGAAACTTCCATGACTTTTCAATTTCTTTACAATAATATTATAAATAAGTTAAATAATGTTCTATAAACAAGAAAGGGTGTTTTATTATAATGTCTTCATCCCACATCGATGGGGAGAGTAAACAAGAGAACATTTCCTCTTCTATAAATAGGAAATGTTGTGAAATGTTTCAAATGGACCAAACCATGAGAACTTCCTTATGTCTACATTTTTAGGATGTTGAAGGTATTCTTTAGTGAGATTGTCTTTATTGGCAACTATCCAGTTAAGTTTTAGAATTTCGAAAATGGTTTTGAACATGATTTTTTCAGGTTCAAACCGGGTTTCAGTTGAAAAATCATTATGTAGTTGGGTATATTGTGTTGAGTCGGTCCGATTTTGTTCAATTTGGACCGATAATGGAAGCATTTTCCTTTCACAACATACATTTGAGTCTATCATGATTTTTTAAATTGTTTCTAATAATATTATAAATAAGTTACCTAAACATAAAATTATAAAATTTTGAAACTTGAATTTGATTCAAAAACACGAAATATATACAAAACCAGGTTTCAGTAGAAAAAATATTATGTAGTTTGGTATATTGAGTTGGTATATTGAGTTATACAGGTCCGAGTTTGATCAATTTGGACCGATAAAGGAAGCATTTTCCTTTCACCACATACATTTGAAACTCCCATGATTATTCAGATTGTTTCTAATAATGTTATAAATAAGTTACATAATGTTATATCAATATAAAAAAATCTACCTAAGCATAAAATTATAATTGTTTGAAAATCAATTTGATTCAAAGGGCGCGAAATATATATTCGATTATATTTTATAAATGAATTCATTTTATAATGACATTTTAAATCATGAAAATACATATAAACAAACTTTTTATAGTAAGTACCTAACTGAATTTATAATTTTAGGATTTAACAAAAGGTTATTCAATAAAAACTTACTTTTTTGGATAGCAACTTACGAGATTACTGAAAAAATGGAACTATTGAACAATAAATTTTATGGATAACGTTTTATTTTTATTATTTAATATTTTATTTAGCAAAATGAAATTATTGGCAAATAAAGAAATGAGTTTAATTAAAATGTCTTCATCCCACATCGATGGTGAGAGTAAACAAGAGAATGTCTTATCCTCTATAAATAGGAAATGTTGTGAAATATTTAAATGAGACTAAGTCATGAGATCTTCCTTGCGTCTACCTTTGTAGGACGTTGAGGGTATTCTTTGGTGAGATTGTCTTTGTTGACAAGTGACCAATTAAGTTTAAGAATTTTGAAAATGATTTTGGACTGGATTTTTTAAATTTTGATCGAGTTTAAATAATATATGAGTGTCTTTTGGCTGAGTTAGGCAAAATCGCTTCCATTGGAGGCCGAGTTTAAGTAACATGTCGAGTATTTGGTTGTGTTATCCAAGTTTTACAACCCTGTATGTAATACAAATTTAAGTTCTAACCTTATAAAAGACATCACTATTATCATATGTTCTTCATAATCATAGTAATATTTATGATACAAAAAAAATTACTATGTAAGATAAAAAGATGTCTCTATTATCATATGTGTATATAATGATAATATTTAAGTTAGATAAAAAGATGTTTCTATTATCGTATACATAATGATAATATTTAATATAAACGTTTTAATGTAATATGAAATTATTATTTAAAAGATAACAATAATGAATATTTATTTTTAAAAGTTTATAATTTTTTTCTACTTTAACCATATAACTTTGTATATGCACAACAACTTCAAGTTCCAACATTATCTCTTATGATATAGTTCAACATAATGATAATACTAAAAATCATCTTTTATATTTGTTATGGAATTATTATTTAATTGTTAATAACAATGATTTAGTTATGTTTAATATAAAATATTTTTTTTCCTATCATGCGCAAACGCGCGAGCATTCGCCTAGTATACTTATAAAAGATACATTTTTACTTGCACCACATGCATTTGAAACCTCCATGACTTTTCAATTTCTTTCTAATAATTATTATAAATTGGTTAATAAGAATAGTTCAAATTAATATTATATAAAAAATTATAATGTTATCTTTAAAAAGGAAAACAATGTTTGTTGTTTTAAGTAATTACAATCAAAGAAACTAACAATATTCATCAAATAAAATTTAAAAGGTTAAATTTCTAAAACCAAATTAAAATAATTAATAGTTTTCAAATACATTATTTTAAATAACTTACAATAACAATAGTTAAAAGTAATATATAAAATTTATATTGTTACCTTTAAAAACAAAAACAATGTTTGATGTTTTAAATAATTACAATGATAGAAATTAAAATCTTAAGCAAATAAACTTTTTAAAATTAATTAATCATAACAACAACTATAAATATCATTAAACCATATATTATATTTAATTTTATTTATGAGTAACCCGCATGTAGAGGTCATTGAAACAATTAAGATTATAGAATTTTTAAAGATGTTTATGTTATCATATAATTCAAACAACAATGTTTTATACCAACTTATTATAAGATTTATTATATAAGAACTAACAACAATGTCATTGATATATTTAAAAAACATATATTTGTAAAGATTTCAAATATAGCGTTGTATTATGCGCAACACGCGGGTATTCATCTAGTATCATACTATATTATAAATGAAGCATTTTTTTTCACCACATTCATTTGAAACTCCTAACTCTTCATATTTCCATATAATATAATTAATTATAAAGAAGACTTTTTTTTCTTTCACCACATTCATTTGAAACTCCCAACTCTTTCATATTTCCATATAATATACTTAATTTATTAACTTAAATATGTTTTTAGTTGTAAACATTATCATAAATAGAAGACTTTGTGACTTATCAATATGATATACTTAATATGTTAACTTCAATATATTGTTCATCATATCATATCATCATCATACTTCATATCATCATATCATATCATACTATATTATAAAGGAAACATTTTTTTCTTTCACCACATTCATTTGAAACTCTCATGCATTTTTCCTTTCACCACATTCATTTGAAACTCCCATGACTTTTCAATTTCTTTCTAATAATAATTATAAGTTGGTTAATAATGTTAAATAAATATCAAATCTAAAGTGTAATTATATATAAACTAAATTTCAATATTAAAATAATATATTTACTTCTACTTATAAAGTTATGTTTTTTAACTTTTAACATATTATACTTAATTCATTAGTTTTAATATATTGTTGGTGCAAACCATTATCATTTTATAGATACAATTTTTGAACAATTTGTATATATTTAAATTATTAATTTGAATATAGCATTACAAGGTCAACTTAAATATAAATTTTAGTTTAACTTAAACAAGCCAAAGAATATTTTGTAAATAGGTAAAATTGATTAATTATAGTGTCTTTCTAATAATGATTATAAGTTGGTTAGTAAGGTTAAATAAATATCAAACCTAAAGTGTAATCATAAATATATTAAATTTCAATTTTAAAATAATATCTTTACTTCTACTTATAAAGTTATGTCTTTAACTTTTAACATATTATACTTAATGTATTAGATTTAATATGTTGTTGTATGTAAACCGTTATCAGTTTAAAGTTACAACTTTTGAACAGTTTGAACAAAATACTTAAATTGTTCATTTAAATATAACATTACAATGTTAACTTAAATATAAATTTCAGTTTCACTTAAAAAACCAAAGAATATTTTGTAAATAGTTAAAAGTGATAGAATGTAGTGATAAATGCAAAAGCTAAATTGTAATATCAATTTAACTAAAATATTTCCTAAAGATATTTTTATAATCATTAAAAGTTTTCAAATAAGTAGCTTAAAATAGCTTACTATAACAATAATTAAAAATAACTCTATATAAATGATTATATTATTATCTTTAAAATCAAAAAACAATGTTTGATGTTTTAAATAATTATAATGATAGAAATTAAAACATTAAACAAATAAATTTTAAAAAATTAATTAACAATAACAACAACTATAAATAACATTAAATCATATATTATATTTAATTTTATTCATGTGTAACTCGCGGATAGAAGTCATTCAAACGATTGAGATTATGCAGTTATAATAGATGTATATATTATCATATAATTCAAAATAATCAATATATTATATCAATTTAGTATACGAATTATTATATCAAATTTAACAACAACGTTATTGCTATATTAAAAAAAACATATATTTATAAAGACTTCAACTATACAGGTGTTTATGCGCAACACGCGGGCATTCGCCTAGTTTGGTATAAAAGCAACCCTTTGTGTTGGTTTTGTAGGGAAGGACTTGCAC